TGAACACCCGATTTTTGATATTTAGCATTTTGTTGAAGTCACTACATACCCATTAAAGAATTTAATTTGCACGTAATACACCGGAAAGTTGAAACATATTTTTAGAAATATTTTTTGAAGCACAACGCGTTGTAAATCTAGTTTTAACCAAAATTAGCGGCAACCTCTAAACTCCTAGTTGCTTTTTCGATATAAAAAAAACGGCTTGTGGCCTTTGAAGTGTGGAATATTGGTAGCAAATTGTGGGAAAATTAACACACTGTAATTCCCCGCTGCCCAGGCAACGTTTTGAAACCTTTTTCCGTAACCCGCCAGGAGAATCGATGATTTTTTCAATCACACGCTAGTCCAAAATACGCTATTTTAATGTGTTTTTTTATTTATTCCTAACTTGTCCATGAACTAAGCCGCTTCCAACTCCTGCTGAGGAACACGGAAAGTTGTAACATTTTTTTGGCCAGGGGTTTTGGAAGGGCGAGTTTTAAAGCTGCTTTTTAGCTCCAAATTAGCAAAAGAGCTGTAATATCATGGTATTGCTGTATTTTAAGCAGTTACCCGCAACTTTTAGGTGTCAAGCTAATTGTTGCTTCTTGCTCGACCTACTAACACGGCATTAAAACGTTGGAATCTCCGCCCAATCAGTCAAATGCGTGTAACTTTTTTCTCTAACCGACTCTGAGAATCGATTTGTTTTTGTTAATCGATTATGATTAAGCGGTCTTAGTAGAGGTCCAAATGTGGTAAGTAGCACTCCTGTTATGGTCGGTTTTCAAAATTAAAAAATTTTCATGGCATATTTTCAGGGAGCGCCAAAAGGGTCGACATTAAAACATTATGAATCCAGCCTGACCAGGCGAGTACTTGAACTCACTCCTGCAGCCCACTACAAGTCTATAGTATTTTTAATTTGACACAGTAAATAAATAGCGTATTGGTAAATAAATAATAGAAAGTATTTCTTAAATAGGTTCTGACTTTAAGTATTGTCAAATGCTACTAACGGTACTGCCAAAATACATATTATCCTACTATTTAGCATTTCTCTTATTATCCGAACCCCCCCCCCCTCCGATAATGCTCAAGAACCCCGGTTTTGGGGTGTGAAACAATCTACGGATTTTAATTACCACCTGCCCGGCCCCGCAAGGGTTCGAACCTTAAAATCCAGGCTCAGATACTTTCGAGCAGGTGGCTTTTCCTAGACCCGGGAATCAATTTTTATTTCTTTTTTTTTGCAGCCCTTTTGAGGGCTAAAAACAGCCATGCACCTGCTCGCCCCAGACTCCCCGATAATTTCCATTAAACCCCGAGCTGAGCCTGAACTTGTAGGGTATTTTTATGGAACTTTGGCACATTCCGCAATGAATCTCCGCTCTCTCTCCCTCTCTCTCTCCCTCGCACCCTCTCTCGCTCTCACTCTCTCTCGCTCTCTCTCTCTCTCGCTCTTACTCGCTCTCGATCCCCCTCACTTTCTCTCAATCATTCTCCCTCAGTTTCTCTATCTCATCTCTCTCTCTCTCTCTCTCTCTCTCTCTCTCTCTCAGTGTTAGCACGCTCGACCAGCTCTGAAGGAATTCCCCAAAACAACTTCCGCTAGATTGCCTTCAATTCTGAAACATGGTTATTGCTAAAGAGCCCCTATACACGGTGTTAAAAAAGGAGCAAGTCCCAAATGATCTCAGCTCAAGAGCAGCAAACGATGACTGCTAGATAGCCGATGGGAGCCAGATATTTCCCCAATCGTCTATGCTAGCCTGCCCCACATATCCGCTTCAAATATTTTCGCTCAAATTCAAAAGTGACATCGCGTACCAGCAAGTGGAAGCCAATTGTCTCAAATGAAATTGGCTGGGCTTCTGTAATTTCCGCAACATCATTTCTCCAAGAAATCGCTGCTAGTCCGCCCTATTTTGAATCCTACTATATATAAAAAAATAGTGTTTGTGTGTGTGTGTGCCACTTTGCATGCAACTTCCGTCACCATGTCCGGAGGATATCTCGATAGGGGGTGAATTTTAGGGTATGTATGATACGTCATTAGGTGCGTGATGGCCCTGAGATGACTGCACACATATTATATTTTAGAAAATCGACGATTTTCGACATTAAATTCAAGTTTTTGTTAAAAAATCGGCGACCCTCTTTGTTAGGAAAAAATTAGCATGCGTCGGAAGTTCCGGTAGCCTATATAATCGGGTAGAGAGCGCGATTTTCATTTTTTGTCATCGGAAACCCAAGAATTATGCAAAGTTAAGTAGATCGTGAGATCAGACGGGGCCAGGGTTGAAAAGTCGCGAAGCGACTTTTCAACCCTGGTGTTTGATTAACCAGCTTAATTGCTCCCCTACCGAACCCGGCTAGACTGCCTTTTTTCCGAAACATATGATTTTCTGCCAAAACAATCTCTGCTAGCCTGCCTCCTAAAAGTTATCGCTTCAGCCCTAAAATTATATTCCACAAAACTTCATGCCTGATTACTTTGTTCGAGAAGCATTTTGAAAAGCCTTTTTAAGAAACATTTTTTCTCAATTATCGACTTCTGAAAATGTCTATATATTTTGGCGTTATGGATTCGATATTTCAGAATCGACATTTCGAAATCGGTGTTCTAAATTTCGAGCTTTTAAGATTTAGGCATTTTTGAATTCGGGGTTTTAGATTGTCGACATTTCGGGATTTCGGTTATTTTGCATTGCGCGTTATGCAATTTCAAATTCGAATTACGGCATTTCAGTTCGAAGTTATTAGACGTCGGGATTTTAGTTTTTGTCATTTTGAGATTCGATATTTTCGGTTTCGGAGTTATCGTATCGAATCGATTTAATCCAAGCATGTATTGCAGAATGCAGATGCGACGCATTACCGCAGTAAGTTCGGCTCGATTGCATTGGTGTTAAGAAACATTTTTTTTCCCAGAAGAAACTTGCTAAGAAACTCTCAAGGCTAAACTCCGGGATACCTAAATAATCTTTGCCAGCCTTCCCTGCCGCCTAAAAATTACCTTGTTATCTAATCGTATTAAGTATCATATTAAATAAAATATATTCAATTTCAAAGATTCTCTGTAAATTACACAGCCAGAGCGGGATCGTCATTGGCCCAAATCAACGTCGCTAAGCTACCTCTTTTTCTGAAACATCGCTTTTTCCAAAAAAAAAACCGCTAGTCAGCTTTTAATGAATCGATTCAACTTGAAAGAATCTTGGTTGATACCTTCTGCCTACAACCAAAATCCCTGATTTCTCAAGGATCTCTGCTAGCCTGCCCTGCCCTCTAAATTTCATCTTGTTCTCGTATAGTATGAAAAAAATATAAAATATAATCAATTTCAAAAGTTCACTGCAAATTATCCAATTAAATAGCAGACGTAATTGGCCCAAATAATCGCCGCTAAGGTACTCTTTTTTCTGAAACATTGATTTTCACAAAATCTCTGCTAGCTTCCTGCTAGTCTTCTGTTAGCGATTCGATTAAATTTTAAAGGATCTTTGCTGGCATGCCTTCTCCCACAGCCAAAATCGCTGATTCCTAGAGGATCGCCGCTAGCCTGCCCTGCCACTCGGCGGCCGATCCAATCGCCAAGGAACACATGGCAAGTTTGCCGCGCGAATTGCCCCAAACCATCTTCACACAATCACCCTAACTTCCAAAAACGCATATTTCCCAAAAAAAAAACTGGAATTCATGAAGTTCCGGAATTCCCTCTGGTTTTCGTATCTTATTAAAAATTATTATATTAAACCAATTCAGTTTCAAGGGTTTGCTGCAAATTAAGCACAGCCTACAATTATGAAAATCAGCGCGGCCTGATTTCCCGGGTTTTAAGCAACATTTTTTTTGATTTAATGATGGGCTTTAATGCCGGCATGATGTATTTTGGCCTTATGGATTCGGTATGTTGAGCTTTCGGTTTTTGAAATTTGGTGTTCGGTAATACTGCTTTTTTGAAATTTCGGCATTTTGAAAATCGATGTTGTAAAATGTCAATATTTTGGGATTTCGGCATTTTGCAATTCGACGTTCCGCATTTCGATTTTTAGGGTTTCGATACTTTGGGGATTCCGATTTTTAATTCGGTAGTCTGGAATTCCGATATTTTCGAATTTCGGCATTTTGGAAATTAGTTTTCTAGAATTTCGATATTTTTAGATTTGGCATTTTGAATTCGGTGTTCTGCAATTTCGCTACTTTTTACCTTTCGGGGTATGCTAGGCAATCGATTGAATGTCAAGGTATCACACCATCACATCAGATCTAAATATTAGCCCAAATGGTCTTTGCTGGATTGCCCTAATTTCCAAAACATAATTTTTCGACCAAGAATTCCGCTGGCCTGCTTCTTCAAAATCGTCACTTCCGTCCTAATACACAATCATATTCTCATAGCCTCGCTCCAATTACGGAAATCTGCACGACCTCTTTACCTTGTTTTTTACGAGACTTTTTTTTAGATTACGGTCTTTCGGAAATGCCGAACTGATCGATTTCGATTTCCGTGAATCCCTATATTTTTTGAATCTCGCTATTTTGAACTCCGGGGTTCTAGAATGCCTATATTTTTTTTTGAATTAGGCATTTTGAACTACGGGGTTCTAGAATTTCGAAATTTTGGAATCTCGGCATTTTGGAAATTGGTTTTCTAGAATTTAGATATTTTGCGTTTGCGGCATTTTGAATTCGGTGTTCTAGAATTTCGAAATTTTGCGATTTCGTGGACATGCTAGGCATTCAATTCTAGTCCAAAGAAAATCGAAAATCAGCGCGCACTATTGGCCCAAATGCTTTTCGCTAGATTGCCCTCAATAACAAAACACATTTTTCCCTAAAAAATCTCTGCTAACCTGCTTTTCTGGGCTCCCAAAAGCTCGTACTCCCCCAAAAGTCTCTGCTAGCTGGCCTTAATACTATTAAGCGCAAGCTAGCAAAGGTAATTTTCAATTTTTTACCGAATTTTAAATTTTGTTTAATTTATAGAAATTAAAATGTAATTTTTTCCAGTAATGTACCCATTCAACCGACTGTCTACCGTAAACGCCGGAGACGAACGAGTTTTGGTACAGCAGCGGAGAAGCCTCGTCCCCAAGAGCTTCATGGCCAACATCCTCGAGGTCGGTGGATACGGTAGCTCAATTGTCATTGGATTTTCATTTTTTTCGATTAATGATTCGCAGTTTTTTGGGTTTCTAAAGAGCGTTCAGAGGTAAAAACAGATTGTTTTTATTAGTTGAAAATTAAAATTTTCGGTAAAAAATTGCAATTAAATTAAAATGTCCTTTTTTCGCGTGTTTTGTCGAAAATTATAAAGAGTCCTGCTCCCATTAAAAGGTTACCTTAATACTTTTAAGGGCAACCCAGCAGCGATTATTTTGAATTTTGTATAATTTATATTTTTTGAATGAAATTTAAAAATTTATGATGTTTCATAGATTTTTGGGTTCCGCGCCCATTTCAAATCTTCAATCGTCCCTTTGATGTATCAAGCTATAAGTCGAATTTCCTTGTTTCGGAGATCACTGGTTACTGTTGAAATTAATATTAATGTTTTTTCTAGCATTTTTAGTGCTTTTGATTGCTAAAAAGTTATAAAAAACCGTTTCTGTTCATTTTAATTTTTATTCGTTTTTCATAGTTGATTCGCTTTTCAACACAAAAGTAAAAAAATTTCGAAAATTTGATACTTTTTAGATTGTTTTTTATCTAAAAACTATATAAAATGCTATAAAAATGGTTTATATTTTGTGATAGGGAAAAATTTCGTTCCCCCCAAAATCCCCCCGCTAACAGCCCAGAACCAAAATCAGGTATTTCAGCGCGGCTCGCATCTCGCTTCCTTTAAGATGGTGTAATCGGATGTTACGGGGTTTTGAGGGATCTGGCGCTACGATAAGATTCAATGCCACGACCTGTTCTTGCGAATTCTTTGGGAAAATACAAAAATTATTTCAGTGGCATGCTTCCTTTAAAACGTTGAAATTGGATGTTTCATAACTTACTAGTTACCGCGCTCCTTTTTAAAGCCTGATTTAATTTGGCTGATATATGGTTCTAGTTTTCTTAGGATTTTCCGGAATTCCTAGACGGGGTCACGCTTCCTTTAAGATTAAGTAATCGGATGTTTCGCAGTTTTTGGGGTAATTGGCTCTGGCCGAAAGATTCAATCCGGTCGAATTTCGTTTCGTTTTCGATTTTCGAAATAGTGTTTTTTCGAAATGGTGACTTTCGAAATGGTGTTTTTCGAAATTGCGATTTTTCGAAATCGTGATTTTCGAAATCGTGACCGCCAACCTTTCTTAGAATTTGCAGGATTTCCTAAACGGTGTCACGCTTCCTTTAAGATCACGTAATCGTTTCGCAGTTTTTGGGGTAATTGACTCTGGCCGAAAGATTCAAGCCGGTGGACAAAGTTTTGGGTTTCGTGTTTCCTTTAAAATGATGAAATTGGATGTTTCATAACTTATTCGTTACCGCTCTCCTTTATCAAGAGCCAGTTGGATGTGGATATCGTTTTGATTTTCAAGGAATCGCATTTTTGCGAAAAAGAAGTTTCATAAAAGGGCCCTTTTCGTCTCAGTGTGAAAAACGTAGTATTCGGCAATTCGTGTTGTCCTACTATATATAAAAAAATAGTGTCTGTGTGTGTGTGTGTGCCACTTTGCATCCACTTCCGTCTGTCTGTCCGGAGGATATCTCAAGAAGGGACGGGTATTAGGCTACGTTTTATACGTCATTAGGTGCGTAATGGTCTGGGGATGACTGCACACATATCAGATTTTTAAAAATTAGCCATTTTCGCTATTAAATTTAGGGTTTTGTAAAAACCTCTTTGTTAGGAATAATTAGCATTGACCGGAAGTGGGACGTCGCCTATATAAAGAGGCAGAAAGGGTTGTTTTTCATTTTTTTTTGTCTTCAGAATGGAGGACAATTATGCAAAGGGCAGAATAGTATGGGTTCCGAGACGAGGCCAGGGTTGAAAAGTCGCGAAGCGGCTTTTCAACCCTGGTTCCATTTAAAAAAAAATACTTTTTACTTTTCTAAGCGCAAAATAAATCATCAAATTAAATAAAAAACCACAAAAATTCAGGCGACTGAATGGACGTTTCGAAATTTTTGAAATTTAGCTTAAAAAACGTGTTTCGCAACATTATACCGTATAGGATGTCTACTTCCACACAATGCGGGATCGGAAAATTCCTCACCAAAATATGCCAGCATAAAAAAAATAGGATGTTTCGTTTAATGCCATTCTCAAACGATGATTTTTGAGTACGATAGAACGCGGAGCTGACGCGAATGAATTCGCCTTATCAAAATTCTATACCTCTTGTCATGAAAATTAAATAAACACTATTTTTGCATCGGGGTTTAAGTATTAAAATAAAATGCTAAAAATTGCTAAAGTTGCAAAAATTCGCAAAAAATCCTCAGAAGATCCGTTGATGAGAAGTGTACATTTTTATCTACCCGAAAGATTCTTAAAAAGGGAATTAAAATTTTTATGTCCCATCAAATTGCATTGCCGAAATGAAACAAGTTTTTCTCATTAGGACGCTGGACCATGAGGCTACCGTATTTAGATTCCTATCTATTTCTTAGTAACTTTTCGTAAAATAAAAGAAATTAAATACTAATTTATACATCTTCAAAAAAATTTAATTCTCTTTGCGATCTAGCGTAAAAATTTAATTCTTTTTAAAGTGTAAAAACCATCCAAAAAAAAATTAAAAACAAACTGAAATTGTCGTAAAAAATTGACGATTTTTGGTCGAAAGATCCATATATTTTCTTCTTTAATAAAAAGTAATAAACTCTGGAAATAGGAGGTCTCAAAGAAAAATAATTAAATTCATATGTTACATGTAACTGCAATGTCGTATCAAAAACTATCTTCTCAATAAAGTCGCGATATAGAATCTGAAGCTCAGGAAATCAGAGATTCCGCTGTTTCTGTGTACATTTCCGTAGTGGCGTAGCCAGGGGGAATTATGCGTTCCCAAACGCCCTCTGCAAATAAATTGCTGAAAAACGCGGGAGAGCAGAAAAAGCGACGCTTTTTGATGATCACGAAAAGTCAGAGAAGCGCACTTTTTGCATTTTCTACCATTTTTTTGACCTTCCGATGGAGGTAAAATTATTTGGATTTAAGTTAACAACAAATCTAATGACGAATTTCTCTCTCTCACTCACTCACTCTCTCTCACTCTCTCTCAGTCTCTCTCGCTCTCTCCTTATCTCTCTCACTCACTTTCTCTCACTCTCCTTATCTCTCTCTCACTCTCTCCCTCCCTCGCACTGATTCTCTCTGTCTCTCTCTATCTCTCTCTATGTCTCGCTTTCTCTTGTATATTGAGATATTCCAAACGGAGGTACACATGGAATCGGAAACGCATTATGACACCAGAAGTACTCGGAGCCACTGTTGTTTATGAAACATTAATTTTTATAAAATTCAATAGAAAAGCTGAATTGCTCGCCCTAATAAAGGCAGTAAAACAACATGCAAACGTAAATTATTTTTTACACCGGCAAGGCATGTTTTACTACGGTTTCAAAATTTCGTTTACTGAGTACTTTTTACGTAACATCATTTTCCCCCAAAAATTTTGTTAAAAATGTTGTGGTTTTACGAAAGGCTTTTGGTTTTGATAGCGCTATTTCAAAATTTGGCAAAATGATCAATAAAATAAGCTATTAATAAAAGCAATAATACGAGCATTTTAAATCAATAAATAAGGGCGAAATCCAAGAAATTTGGCAACTTGGGAGTACAGACTGCGACGCAAAAATATCTCCGGATTACCAATATTTGCGAAACACACATAAAGCAAATCTTTTCCATTGTTCAGATGTCCCTGATGACGAACGGGTGGCGAGACGAGGTGCTGCCGAAGGAGGAGGAGCCCTTTTTGGATCATCATCCCGAGGGGTATGCTATTAAAATTAAGGCAGGCTGGCAGAGAACATTGAGGGTTGGTTGGACTTTGTGAATTAGAACAAACATAATTTGTGGCGTTACTACAACTACAATAATTCCGTAGAACAGCCTGTTCTTTGATATTAGGCGAAACGTGATTCTAGACAAAATGGGAATGAATCGATCGCCACATTTGCAATTTGAAGTTTTTATGTTGTGTATTCCGAAGAAGATGAAGAAATGGACTCTACAGTGATTAAAATTCCAAAATTTGTCAGGTTATTGACATTTCTTGAAACAAACAGATTCATTGACATATAACGAACGACGAACTCAATAAACCACAAAAAATTTGCCAGTATCGATAATGTTTTGAAACACTTTTGGCGAAAACATTTTTAGAACCCCACCCCTGTGTACCAATTGTTTGAATCTCTTCAAGGAATTAATGTTTGTTTTCATATATCTAATTAAAAAAAAAGGAAAAGAAAAAATTGAAGAAAGAAGTAGATCGCGCATCATCTGCCAATGACCAATTATCATAAATGATGACCAGGAATTAATTTTTCAACAATTTTTGGAGCTTTGAAAATTTTTGAAACATTTTTGGAAAAATTTTAAGTGCAAAGAACATTCTTAATGTTTTATAACATATCAAAATTCCTTTAATTCCGAACGATCTAAAACAATTAAATCAATTTCAGATCGCCGGTCCGGCAGGGCCCGACAATGCTCCCCTTCCGGAATGTCCGCTGTTTCAGGTAGGGATTTTGCGAAATCGTTATCCACGCGAAAGCGACTGCCAACCAGGACATGCAAAAATTAAGAAAGTACAAATTTCATTAAAACACATTTTTTTGCAGCCGTACAATCTCGCCGGTGCTGCAATTCTTGAGGGCAATCGCCTTCTTTCCCGGGTTATTTCAGCAGAGTAACAGACGGAGGAAGCATTGTCAGGATAGGATGGTACGTTCTCCCTCTCTCCCTCTCTCTCTCTCTCTCCTCTCTCTCTCTCTCTTCTCTCTCTCTCTCGCTCTCACCCTCTGTCTCTCTCACCCTCTATCTCTCTCTCTCTCTCGCTCACTCTCTGCATTCGTCGCCGGATGTCATTAAGGAGCCTTGAACGCCCAAGAAAGCACCTAAAAATGAACTTTAATTGTTATAACCTATAAAAATCGGAAAGATAGAAAAAGCTGTATTTAAATGCCAATACAGAACGGAGTTCTTTGACATTATCGGGGGGGGGGAGTAACGCGCCGTGCCCTTCTATATTCGCTCTCATTACTTTCCTCAAAGCATCAATGCTAGCCTGCCCTAGTCTATCATTTTGAAATCTACGGCGTTGGTGCAATACACATTATCGTAGACGCATGTTTTTTGCCTGCATTAGAGCTCGAAACATAAAAATTCAGGGTTCAGATCCGCCTGTGACTTGGGATTTCAAGTTGCAACCCAGCCTATTTGGTCCAGAATTTTGCGCTGATTCCGAATATGGTTAACAAATTTGCCGAATCGCTATTTTCCGCAATTTATGAACGAACAGAGGCCGAGAAAAGGCAAAAATCAGCCGGTTTCTATGGCTCTGCCATTAAAGGGGCCCTGAAATCTGGTCCCCCCAACGTTGATTCCTCGCAAATAGCCAGATGCCACCGCAACGCGACCGCACCCCATCTTCCTTTGCCAGTTTTTGGACGTGAAACGCTAGTATTTCTAAATTCTGACGCTATTTCTGGATTCCTTACCGAATTTCGATCATTTTAGACTTTTTAATTACGAAAATTGATCAGAAAATCACCGAGATCGGGAGATCGGGTGCGTTACAACGCATTACGACATGTAATCGCCGAGAACTCAAAAAGTTTCGCCCGGAAAAATTTCGGTTTTACCAAATATTTTACGTTTTTTCGCAACGAAATTAATGTTGTGATACTTTTCTGTGGTGACCGTCTCGTTTTCTGAATAGTAGGTGCAGTCCGCGCACGACCTCCGAGCCCGCTTAAAATCGTCCATAACTTTCGCAAAATCGCGATTCGGAAAATTTTATGGACAGATTCGGAACGAGCGCAAAATTCTGCACAATATCGGCTGGGTCACAAATTAAATCCGGGGAGAAACAGGCCGGGGTACAAGCAAACTATCAACGAAGGATTAAGGAACCCATTTTCATTTTCCTCCACACTTTTCTTTGAAACACATAAGATTCCGGTTGATTTTTTGTTGTAGTTTGTAGTGATTTAATTTACTCCACTTATTTGTTATTTATGTATCTAATCCGTTTTAGAAGTACTTTGCCCTGTACACGTTCGCCGCGCTCATCATCCTGCTCAACTGCTGGCTGTTCAAGATGAACGTCTGGCTGATGCTGTTTTATCAGGTAGAAATTTTTGAAAATTTAATGAATGTTTTTGTCGTTTAACTGAAGCCGAGAATGACCCGAAAACAGCAATTAAAAGATCAGAACATCATCATTAACTTTCATAAAAAATTATGGATATACAATTTTTCCGAAACTTATTTTTTTTTGATGATCCTAAACTTCATAAAACCATATGATCTCAGTTTTTGTTTGAAAATTTACAATATTTTTGGTTAAAATCAAAACCTTTTTAGCTCAAATTTTCCAATATTTTTAATCGATTTATTTCGCAATCGCGTTACCCCACTACATTAAGAATCTCGAAAAGTTCCGATATTCATATTTTTATGAAACCTATTATTTTTAGCAAGTGAATTTAGCTAGATTTCCCCCGTTTTAGCAACAATTCGGTCTGATGCACACGTGCACCGTCTCGTCGATCGTATCCGGGATCAAGCCTTTCGTTAATGCGGTGGTGATCGCGCTGTTCATCATGCATATAAGCGCCCATTATCGACTAGTGAATACGGTGGATACGGTAGGTGTTTTATCTTTATTTGTTCTCTTTTGTCTGTATCCCTCTCTCTGTCTCGCGCGCTTTTTCTCTCTCGCTCTCTCACATCGGAACGATTGCCGCATTATAGAAAAACACTCCCATATAACTATCCAAAATTCCGAAACATCCGGGCTTGCATTTTGCGCAAAAATTCCGTTGTGAAACAGTTCTCCCAAAATGATCTCTGCTAGCCTGCCCCCTCCCCCTCTCTCTCATCCCAAATGATCTCTGCTAGCCTGCCCCCTCCCCCTCTCTCTCATCCCAAATGATCTCTGCTAGCCTGCCCCCTCCCCCTCTCTCTCATCCCAAATGATCTCTGCTAGCCTGCCCCCTCCCCCTCTCTCTCATCCCAAATGATCTCTGCTAGCCTGCCCCCCCCCCTCTCTCTCCTCCCAAATGATCTCTGCTAGCCTGCCCCCCCCCCTCTCTCTCTCATCCCAAATGATCTCTGCTAGCCTGCCCCTCCCCCTCTATCTCTCATCCCAAATGATCTCTGCTAGCCTGCCCCTCCCCCTCTCTATCTCTCATCCCAAATGATCTCTGCTAGCCTGCCCCCTCCCCTCTCTATCTCTCATCCCAAATGATCTCTGCTAGCCTGCCCCCTCCCCCTCTCTATCTCTCATCCCAAATGATCTCTGCTAGCCTGCCCCCCCCCCCTCTCTCTCATCCCAAATGATCTCTGCTAGCCTGCCCCCCCCCCTCCCTCTCTCATCCCAAATGATCTCTGCTAGCCTGCCCCTCCCCCCTCTCTCATCCCAAATGATCTCTGCTAGCCTGCCCCCTCCCCTCTCTCTCATCCCAAATGATCTCTGCTAGCCTGCCCCCTCCCCCTCTCTCTCATCCCAAATGATCTCTGCTAGCCTGCCCCTCCCCCTCTCTCTCATCCCAAATGATCTCTGCTAGCCTGCCCCCTCCCCCTCTCTATCTCTCATCCCAAATGATCTCTGCTAGCCTGCCCCCTCCCCCTCTCTATCTCTCATCCCAAATGATCTCTGCTAGCCTGCCCCCTCCCCTCTCTCTCTCATCCCAAATGATCTCTGCTAGCCTGCCCCCCCCCCCTCTCTCTCATCCCAAATGATCTCTGCTAGCCTGCCCCCTCCCCCTCTCTATCTCTCATCCCAAATGATCTCTGCTAGCCTGCCCCCTCCCCTCTCTCTCATCCCAAATGATCTCTGCTAGCCTGCCCCCTCCCCCTCTCTCTCATCCCAAATGATCTCTGCTAGCCTGCCCGACGTCTCTCAAATTTTCAGGTGGATCTGTGCTTCCGTGCAGCCTTCCACACGACTCCCCCAATCCGTCTCTACTCCCTCATCTTTTTCTTCGTCTCGTTCGCCTTCTTCCTCGGCACGTTCGCCCTGTTCTGCGTCGAGTTCATCTCTTTTGGCAGCAGGTTTGTAAAAGCAAAAATCTTCGCTAAATCATCATTCATTTATCTGCCTTTGTACACACAGATGACTAAAAGCACGCATTTTTCGGGATAACCAATTTTTTTTTGAAAGATTTCTTCTGATAGGAGGTGTTTATTAAAACAAGATATATCTGGCGCTTGTTAACAAATTTGCTTGCTAAAATTCCAGTATCCCAGCCGAATTCAAAAAATAATTAAGCCCCAAACCTGTTCCCGGATTAACTAATTTTTTCGAAACATTTTTTTGCTAATAAGGGGACTATTAATTCCGGCTATAATCGACACTTTTTAGGAAATTTAGACACGCAGAATGTATTGTTTCACCCTTTGCGCAAGAAGAATTAATGGCTAAACATTTTCGGGCTATACCTAATTTTTCGAAACATTTTTTCTTAATATGGGGATTCTTAAATCCGGGCAGAAATCACAATTTTTAGCAGATTTGCATCGCAAAATGTATTTTTACCAAATTTAATCGAGGAATTAAACCTGGAATAATTCTCGGTAGGACCAATAATTTGAAAAACATGGTTTACGCGGTGGAGATGAAGAATTTAAGCTAGGGCATCGGCCGCCAAAAACCAATTTTGAAACTCATTTTTTTTTTTGCAAAATGGGTCGGGATTTTCAAGGAATCTACAATTTTCCGTAGCATTTAGGAGCTCAAATTATAGCTTAAATTATTTTTGTTAATTTAAACCTTTTTGTCGGCAGTATTTTCCGGTTTGAAATTATTCCACAAGTTCTGGCAAAAGCTATTGAAAACGGAATATTTTTTGTCTCATCCAATTGCCCTGAAAGATACTTTTTTGCAGCTGTCGGTCAAATAATCTTTCATTTTTTATGATTTTATATGCTATCAAACAATTTTATCGAAATATAGAAAATCGGTGCGATTTAGGAAATTTTATTTTTTATCGTTTTACTAAGCCTCTAAATGTCTTTAAAATTTCCAGAGCCTCTAAATTTGATAGGCAACTGAATAACTGGTGTTCATTGCAGTAATCAAAAATCGCGAGTTACCAAATATTGGTGAAACACCTGAAAAATCTCGCCAATTATGGTTGTTACATAGCATTTATATATAAGTGATTTCCTTATTATTATAGCAATGCTACTACTAATCTTTTTATTTTTTAGAATTACTACAATTTTGAGCGCTAAAAAGAGTAGATTTGCATTGGTTTCCTCAAAAAAATTTAAACCGTCAGGGATGTGAACAGTAGAACCTGAAAAACCATTTTTATCACATAAAATTACGAAACATTCTTCTGCCAAAAATTTGGAGACATATAACTGATGATCTAATTTAAATGTCTAATTAAGATTTATTATAAATATTATATTTTAATTGCATTAAATAATGGTCTCAGAATTTAACGGTTACCCCCCGTTTCAGAAACCAGCGTGGCGAGTACGTTTTTGGGTAAGCATGACGAGGTTGAGCAAGTGAAAAATCAGTGCAAGTGCTCGTCCTTAGCTAGGCTAGTCTGGCCTAGTGTTTATGATCTTTTAAAGGAACTGGCAAGGCATGGCTGTGGATTTTTCTATGGATTTCCTTTCATTTCTCCGCCTCATGCTGCGCGAAAAATCGAAAAATCCATAGTCTTGTCTTGCCAAGCCCTTTAAAACCGTAAAAACCATGAAAATCGTGTCGAAATACCTCCCTGCTACACGTTGCCTGTCCCTTTAAGTGATGGCCGATAGCGTGTCTGTCCGTGGTCCCGGTGCCATGCTTATCATTTCATTGATTATTGTTTAGTTTTTGTGTTTGGTGCTAGAAAATATGCTAAAAAATAGAAGAAAATTGTAAAAATTTGTAAAAATTGTAAAAATTGTAAATAAAATCCGATTTTTACGATTTAGCTATCTATCGAAAGCCCTCGAGAGGCGAGAAAACAAGCGGATTTTGTATCCCGGATTTAATCGCATCCCATCGATATTTAAGGTTTTTCCTCAAAAACTGGTAATTTTCAACAGCAATTTCGCAATTAGCATGCAGATCTTGCATAAATAGCGGTTTTCAGCTTTTTGGGCGCAAAATTAGCGCTTAAAAATACATAATAATGAAAATGAACTCTCCTTATTTTCTCGTCGTTTCGAGAGCTTTCGATAGATACCTAAATCGTAAAAATCGGACTCGACTGCGGACCGCTGGGTAGGGTTTTTTTTGGTACACCCTGTAGTATGTGCCGCGGAAACGTTGCTGTGTTTCGTATGCTAAAGAAATGAAAAACGTAAAAATGAAAGTTTCAAAAATTCCTAAAACCACGAAATTATTTTTTTAAACTAATAAACCATTGCTCTGGCTCTATTCTCAATTTCAATCACACAATAAATCTCCTGTCAATCAATAAATTTGAAACTAAATCGGTAATTCTGATTAAGAAATGCTAAATGACGGCTTGCAACCCTTTTTTTATTTTTCAGGTTCTTTCGCATCATCGGGGCAACCAACTTTTTTCTAAGAATCCAATTTTTAAAAATAAATAGAGGAAGTGTTTAAAAAATGTTTTTTATTATTCATAAACGTAATAACGTGCCAAATTTGTTTAAAAAAATTTAGATTTTTCAACCAAAAATCACCGCTTTCGACCAAAATTTCAGCTAACAAAATTTTTCTAAGTTTATTTTTACTGTTTTGCGTTTCAAATATAACTAAATTTTTTTAAAATGATTATTAAAACGCTTAATATTAAGTTACTAGACTTTCCAGGTCGTATAGGAAAAAAGCGCTCCCACGTAACGCCGATACCGCGAAAGAACCATGTTTCAAAAATGTTCGATATCGCAAAAACTTCCAATCAATCAATGCAGGAAAAATCCAAAATCACAAAGCAAATCCTTAAAGCATTTCTTAAACGTTTGAATTTTTTTTAAACTTGAATTTTTCAAAAGTTCCGATTTTGTGTGGATTTTCAAATGTTTCAAAAGCCACACAAAATCGAGAAAGTTCTTCTCGATTATTCAACGAATGGAGAAGGTCGAATTTCACGCTGCTTTCTCGGCTAGAAAAATCGTGGGCCGACGTCACTGTGCCTTTAAAAATATTCTATTTCAATTGAAAAAATCAGAAATGATGCTTGAAAATTAAATTTCAGCCTCGGGACGGCAGCCGATGCGTCATTCCTGATCGTGCCGATGCTATCGCTATGGAACATCGTCCCCCTATTGTATTACGACATGTATAACCGGATCGTACGGTGGGGGAAAGGTTTCAGAATGTTCAAAACTAATTAATCAAATGAAACAAAATTAGTAACATTAGAGGCTTTGAAAAATCAAGGCTAATTTAACTATTTAACTTGATTGAGGAAACTGAGATGGTAATTAACCAATTAGCAAAACCCGAAAATAGTGAAATTTTATAAAACACTTTTTTTCATAAATTTCATAGTTTTATCGTATGGTAAGGAAACATGGGATATTACCTTATACAAAGCAATGAAAAAATTTTACCAATATACTAAGGAATTCGCAAAACCCGAAAATAGCGAAGTTTTATAAAACATACTTTTTTGAAAAATTTCGTAATTTGTCGTACGGTAAAGA